CCTCCATACCTGTGGCTCACCTATTCAAGGAGCCTGCATAAGTATATACACATACAAAAACTAACAAAAACCTTTTAAAAAACAGAATGCATAAAAAATTCTAAAGTTTAAATTCTTGAGTCTATGATGTCTCAACTACAAGTTAGCGTATTTGTGAGTTTTAACACTTCCAGGAATACAGAAAGGGTTTTTAGTCAAAATTTCTTCTTAAGTACTAACTATTGAAATTGAAGGTGAACTAGGAGAAAGGCTTGACTAAAAAAACCTTCCCCTGCATTGTTCAGCTCATTTATGATGTAATCAGTTCAGTGAGTCTCAAGCCAAAATTCTGAACATTCAGCATTTTGCATTTACAGTTCTAAGGCAGAACACCATCTTCAGAACAAGTGATTTAGTCTTGGGTCTAACAACAACAACAACAAAACCCTAAAAGGTGCATCTCATCTTTTAGGAATAGCAAATTTTAGAAGTTTCTATGGCATTCTCTCACAGCTTTGAGTTTTATTAGTTTTTTTTCTAGAAAAGCCTGATTTTTTTTAAATAGTTTTCAGACATGCTGAGACATGCATCACGGCTAGAAAGACTGAATTTTTCCATTGTTATTTCTGGGTTGTGTGTTCAAGGTCAGCATTAAAATCGTACAGTGGCATTAACAGACTGCTATCCTGCATAACGCCTTAGTTGGGGCCATCGCAGTACTGCCACAACTGAAGGCAGGAGAGGAGCTGTGCTGTGCGGTGGCTCGCTCTCCCCAGGGCCACAGCTCTGACCCGCGGCTCAGGCATCAGCTGCCTGCGAGCAGCGCCTGGCTCTGTGAAGCACAGCTGTAACTCGGGCTCAGCTTTACACAAGGAAAAAATTAAAAAAGCAAGGAAAAGTTGAGCTGTGAGACTGCAGGTAATCTACCACCACACAAGAGAAAGAAAAGTAAGAAGAAAGAAGCAAAGTCATCGAGTCAGTCAGTACTTTGGAGAAAAGTACTGTCGAAGTACTTTGGAGAAAAATGGCAACACAGACAGCGTAAACCCTGAGGAAGAGAAGCGTTGCTGGAAGACATAATTCAGGAAGATCAAAGGTCAGCCCAGCCCAAGCAGCAATGGAAGGAGACATGCACAAGTAGTTTTTCAGTCGACAGCTAATACAGTTGTGTCACACAAATTCATGGAAAGACTCACAAGATAAATGAAAGTATTGTTAAACTTTTTAAACTGGATTTACATCCGTTTAACTAATGGGATCAATAATCTGTTGTTTATCATCAGAAAGCTCATGAATCCTATAGAAGATTTTTGGAACAACTGGAACTTGTTTAGACTCACTTTGAACAGGAAAACAAAGAGAAAAGTAAATTATCAATAGAAGATACCCTGAAAAAACAGGCAGAGTTCCAGAAAACACCTGAAGGAAAGTTATCAGTGAGTAACTTAGACGGGTTACAGAACAATTCTCATATCTAACTTCCAAGATTAGCCTTCACACAACCACTGCATGAGCGGGGCCACATTTCTGACAGGGCATGTGAAACCTCTAGCACCTGGCACAGCACCAGGATGTTGTTTTGCAGACTCACCAAAGCCGCCTTCGGAACTGGAGTTCAAACTCTAGAACTCTTCTGAAGCTAGCTGAAGAGATTCACGTGTGGTGAAGAGAGACACAGAGCAAGATACCCATCAACAGACATGGCATGTATTGATGTGATGAAGTTTCTACACGCCTCAGATGTTTTTATTTTTTAAGCTTGTCAAGTGTTGCATATATACAATTTAATAGAAAGAGTATCTGAAAATGAAATGTACACAACACAGAAGGTGTCATCTTTGGACTGCAGAGAAAGTCCTGGGGTCAGAGCTCCACAAAGCTTGATGCCATCAAACCTATGCTAGTATCTCTTCAAGTAAATGTGGCTCGTACTCAAGAGTAGCAGTTCCTCACAAGCCTTCACAAGTATTTGAGTGCACCATATTCCCCAGTGCAGGCAGCTCAGCTCCCAGAACAGTCGGGGGCTCTCACCAAAACGGGCCAGCCCACACCCAGACCCAAGGGCCACTGCCACAGCCTTTGACTCCAATAGTCTGAGTGCCCATTACACTTGAAGCTTACAGATTGAGAGGATCGCTGTCCAATTCTGGTGAAATACAGGAAATATGCATGATATTTCAAACTAACACTACTTAAACGAGGATTACAAGAGCATTAAGTCAATCAGTAGCTTGTCAAAGCCTCCACTGAGACAAGCTGCAGCATAGTTACACCTTGAAGTACCTCACTGAAGTACATGCTATTGTGAACAAAGCCTGCTAGAGGGAACAAAGAAAGCAAGAGGCAGCTACAGTCAACAGAAAAGTAAGAACATACATAAACCTATCTGTGGCAAAAATTACATCATCTGCTGTGAAAGCCAAAGAGGGGATGGAGAGATGAGTTTTAACAAGCCAATTCTTGGGAGTTGTTACAGACCTGTCAGTTACAGCTAAGCTCTCTTTACTTTCAGGTCACATTTTCTGTGTTTTCATCTTAATTAGAGAAGTTTCTAGCAGCCATTATCCAACTACACCTTTTAAGAGTTCAGTTCTTTGGCACAGTCTGATTTTAGGCTGAAAAAAAAAAAATTAAAAGCCTATTTACAGTGATGTAAGTTTACCCACATTGAAACATGCGATTTCTGGGAGCAAACCCCTGGCCTGAGAAGAACCATTTGTAGTAACATGAAAACATTTGGCCTCTAAGGATTGCTCAAGTAATTATTTTCAAGATTTCATGGGAACAGGTCAATAGCTATATGAATATCAGTAAAAAGAGTGTCAAAAAGGCCTGTGAATCATCAGATGCACTGCAATCTGGTTGCATTACTCTGTGCTCAACAGTTCAAAACACTGATGGTTTCTTAACTTTCTTGCACTAAAGATAAAACATTTCTGCCTGTCTATAAAGAAACTTCCCCTGTGTTTTTTTGGATGGTTTCCTTAATTAAATTTCAAGCTGGTATAATCCTACAGTAGAAGAAGCACACGAGTATTTACAAATATTAAATGTAGGCTACTGGCTACTGCAGTGTTCCAGTGACAATAATTTCTCAGATAACCTAATGTAATACACATCCGTGTACCTCTGGTTTATAAAACAGCAGTTCATTTTAAAGCAAAATTCCAGTCATTCTATATATGCACAGTACTATGCTGATTTGGTAATACAGGGACACAATTTAATGATTTTCTTTGCATTTGTTTTTACAAGATTCAGATGCCAAAAACAAAACAGAACATTAAGTTACCTGATTTAAAAAAGAAAATCACATACGTTTACAACATCAAAAGAATAAGACGAAATATAAACCTTTGCTACTTACAATTGATCTATACAGATTAACCAAATCACAAATCCGTCACAATATAAACGTTTAATTGTTACAATGAATAAGAACATACAGAAAATGATTTATTTTTTTTATAAAATCTTCCTTTGCTTTTTTATTTTAAACTTACCATTAACTAAATTAGCTATGCAGGACTTGTGGGGTACATGACTAAGAAGGCACCAACAGTACAAAGCAAAGACAAAGCAGTTTGAGTATTTTAAGAGTGCTCTACACTGATACAACACAAGAAAAGGCAACAATAGTAAGTAAACCAGCTGCAACCTTTAGAAATTTGTTCTAGATTTACAAAGGTAGTCCAACTTTTACATTTCCTCCAATGTTTCACTTAGTTTGATCACAGCACATGCTACAAAAACCATTGTAAGCTTCACTTTACTAATGTGCACTTTTCACTAATTTAGTGTCTTGATTTCAATTGTTAACTAAACCATTTTGAACCACAAATGTATTTAAAACTTAGTAAAAGGATCAATTGGACTTTTTTGTTTAAACCACTGCATTTACAAAAATATTTCCCCTAAAATCTGGGATTGCTCGAAGACATCGCTGTACAAATATAAAAGTACTATGCAAGGGACCAAATTCATGAGTATATGGTGGGTATGTATAGACCTATATTTATACCATATCACTGTGCTGTAACAACACAATAAATTTATCAATAACCAAGGACTATATAAACTACACTAACATAAGCAAATATATATTAATAAAGTTTAAATCTATAGTACAGTTGCTCAGCAAACAACTTCGACATGGTATAAATATATCGTAGCATATTACAGTGGGCAGCAACAACAGGTTTTTCTTTTTCTCATTCCGTAAGGAAAACCACGCTCAACTCCTCGGGTTTCATTTGGCCACTGCCGAGTGATGTCATCACTGCTACTCCTGACAGCTCCCAGTGCACCACACCGCTCAGCCCACGTGCTGCGGTGAACACTTCAGATTTGATATAACGTGCGATATTGATGAGGAAGAGTCTGGCGACAGTCAGGACAGCAGAGTAAGACGCTTATTTGCCAAAGCATCCATGAGAATTTTACATTTGCATATTTTTCTTCAGCTGTAAGTTTGGAATGTTTTTGACAGTGAACTGTTTACATTCCTCATTCCCAAAACATCTTTACCATGAAATATGCATGTTACTTTGATTAAGATTTGCTGTTCTCCGCTCTAAAATATTAAAACTACATAAAGAAGAAAAAACCAAAAATCAATGTAAAATGATGAAATAACTGACCTAACACAGTGTTGTTATAGGCACCTTCTTCTAAACTATTCTCAAAATCCGACAAAAAAAAATAAAAATCATACTTCTGCATTTGACGCATCCACTAATTCAACCCAACAATGTTTACTGAATTCAGTCAGACTGATGATGTGGTTACTGATACTGATGGATGCCAATTGGATTCAGCAATAGGTAAGGAAGAAAGCCCGAAAGCACCAGATGTTAGGTAAAGCAAACCCTCGGCTTCTCACTTGGAGAGACAGAATGCAAGGGTAAGTCTACACCTCCCCAGAAATCCAAAATTAAAGAAAGTATTAAAAAAGGAACAGGGAAAGAGTAGGGTGAAGTAAGCTGCCAAACGTCTTCCTTAATAAATTAAAACTGAGGTGTTACAAACTAATTTCAGTAACAGTCATCTTTCCAACCATGCCAAAAATGATTCCTGTAGTGATGATCATACAAGTAGCAGAGATCCTAGAAATTTTTCAACTTCTCAAAACTGAGTGAGAAAAGTATTTTGGTAAAGATGCGTAGAAATGTCAAGAGAAATTTCTACACTAGTATCAACAGTCAAGTGCATATTTCTATAGAAATGTTTTTAGCATAGGTTCCATACCACAATCCAATGATCACTTGTGCAGCGTCCTGACAATGCTCCTAATATGTTCCCCGCAACAGAGATTTATGTACCACAGGAAGTTCCTAATAGAAAATGCCCTTTAATGATGAACCCTTGCTTATTAAAAATTAGTTTTGGCAGACTAACACTTAAACTATAGGAAAAAGAAAATTTTGAAATGGAATCTTGTAAGCACCCTTATCTATAGAAGTCTAAGTTAATGGCTTTCTAGGTTTCTTTGAAGAGCAGAATAAATGGTATGAGGAAGCCTGGAGTTATTAACCAGCAAGCATCCTTATATACTACAGTAGCAACTGAACCTGATTTCCATTCAAACACATTACCCAAGAGGAAACCAAAAACTAATTCTTAATGTTAATGTGAAGATATAAGATTTAAATTTATTTCCAGGAATTACAAGTGCATTTTGTTCATATTAGCAAGCAGTCTTTATACAATCCATTCTTCACTGCTGCCAAAATAAAATGAGAAAAAGACAGCAGAGATATGAAAAGCTAAAAATAGAACTATTTTTCCTAAGTTATTTGTTGAATAGCATTTCAGTTGAACACAACTCAGAGGTAACAATAGATTATTTTTTTTTCTCAATCATAGGCATGTGGCACTTAGACAATCATCTTTGCACAGAAAGCTTTAACAGTCATGCGAGGGCACAGTAATTATTTTAAACAAGGCAAATTTCTCACCACAGAGAGCAGTGGGGAAAGAAAAGGAGGCACTGCACTGGAACATAACACCTAGTAAACTCCACATTATACAATTTCAGTAACAAATACTTGAAAAGATCATTAAAAGGTATACAATTTTAAACATTATTTAGTGCTAGCTTTGTTTGGTTGTCCTAACTCAGCATTATCAGAAAAGTTTGATAGTACTTGACAACAGAACAGTACTTCATGTCACGAGCTCATGGAGGCTTGATTACAAATCACCATAGTGTAGGTTGCAAGAAATGAACTTGAGATGCTGACATGCTGTAGGAGCAAAAGTAAAATCAAACTTTCTCATTTAAAGATGCAGTGTTCCTCTCTGCAAGAATTCTGAATGTCAGTGATTAGATTCAAATGTAAAAACTATCAATCCTCATTTGAAGCATTTCATTAGTATGCAGTATGTAGACTGAGTTTATTAACTTCATATTTTGGTTTCTCGCTTGCCACCACATATGGATGCCTTCCACAGAGAAAAGCATTCACCGTTAGGTCATCATGCCATTATGTTCTTTGTTAATCTTCCACCACACGGTGAGCAAATATAAGTTGGCGAGCTGCCGCTCATTCTCTTTGCACAAGTCTTATAAACACTACTACATGGTATGAACTTTGGAAGTACTACGCCTCCAACATGGTTAAACTTTAAATGATCTCTTTTAGAAAAGGCGGGGAGAAAAAGGTACTAATTTTGTCAATACATGGAAAAAATGTTTCTTAGATGAATTCAATTAAGTTGGGTTCCTATGTGGCTCTTACGCTGTACAGAATACCTGTATGTGCAGCACAGGACACCCAAACAAGTGCATAAGCAAGATTAACATGAACAGGACTTATGCGGTAATCCATAGCATAATGGTATAAAATCCGCTGGATGCTAACCATTTATATTTAAAAAGGAAGTGCAAAAAAAATCTGGGATGTCACTGACTTAAAGTGCCCTGAATAGTAGCTTTTCTAAAAAAAATGCCAGCGACTTCAGTAAAGTCAGAAAAACATAGTTCATGGTGTAAACTTCTTAAAGGTTAATGAATTATCTTCTTGGATATTGATCCAGGAGTGAAAGGAACCACTGCATCTTTCAAACCAGAAAGCAAGCAGTTAAAATACGGCCAGCAGTAGGTGCACTTACAGTACAGTACTGCAACAGGTCAACAATGGGCATTACGCATAGGAGTGTCAATTACAATTCTTCAGGCTTAAAAGATTCATTGAAAGCATGAAAAGCCAAAACTACCAGGAACTGCCCTCCTGAATGGCTCAAAGGAGTTAGTGGATAAGCTGAGAGAGGCCACAAGACATGACCAACAATAAAGAACTGGGAAGAGGAACAGCAACGTTTGAGCATGCCCAGTCCTTTAAGTCCTTGTCCTACAAAAAAGAGCAGAGACATATTTCAGTGCAGAAAGTATTAACATCACCTTTTAAAACAAGCATACTTTCCTATTTCTATGCTTTATGTACACTACGTTTAGCACAGACAGCAGTACCAATATATGTTAAAAAAAAAAAAGCCCAGAGACAGTGAATATCAATACATTATATTTTAAATTAAAATTTTAAATCTTCAAAAGATTAGGAAGATTAATCATAACTAATGAGTGAAGTACATTATTTGATTATCTAAAGAATCTGTTATTTTCACATTGCTTTTCAATTCCAGTAACTACAGCCAAGAGGGAAGTTTTGAATTTCAAGAAATAAACACACTGAGAAGAGTTAGCTGATGAAGTACCGGGGGTGGGGGGTGTCGGGGGAGCAGCAATGCACAGAAAGAGACGCTTACTGTCCATTTTAATACAACTCCTGGGGGCCCGCCTTCACTAGGATGGCAACTACTTCTGTGTAAACCGTTGTGATGTGGAATAGCTAATAATTCTAACCACAAATGACTAGGATAAATTACCAGCTATCATTACCAAGCTGAGTACAACATTTAAATTTCAGTATCGTATCAGCCAAATCAACTCTTCCGAGTAGCATTTAACGGTAAGATTTTTAGCAAACCAGAAATTTCCATTAACACCAGATCACTGGTATCTTTATCCCTAATCCCTTTATCCCTTAATCCCTACTACAACCTAGGTCTGGGCAAAGAGGCAAGCAGGAGAGATCATAAACTACGATTTACCAGTGTTGGCTGCTTGCTCTCCCTTCCTTGATACTATGGCTTATTATTAATGGGTTTCATCTTGCTCCTAAAATTTATGTCATTTTCTTCCAGAAAGTGTACAGGAACTGCTAGTGCTTCTTGTAGAGAACTAGCTTTAGAAAATGCGGACAGGAAATAAGCACCACACATTACGGTGTCCCAGGTCTAATTCTATTGGCAATGCCCAACTAATAAGAGTCAGATGTGTGAACCTCAGATTTATCTAACTTTTAATCATTAAAATAGTTTCAAACATTAGCTAGTAAGCTTAAAGAAACAAAATACAGTATTTCTGAAGATCAAAATGACTTCATTTGTGAACTTCTATACATTTGAATACTCAAGCCAGTGGCAACAGAAGTTACCCTACTTAAGTAAAAACTGTATTTTCAAGTTTCCTCCACTTTTTTTTCCTTTCTTTCATGGATTTCTTGCAGTGAGGAAGTTCACGGGCTCAAAACTTAACCTTTCTGCTGGAACTGCCAACAAAAAACAGTGTCTGTAGAATGCTGCTGTTGACAGAGAACAGCAAAGAAACTACTTTTAAGACCATAAACCAAGCAATCTAGATAACGCTCTTTGGTTTGTTTTTCTTTTCCAGTCACAAAACTTTGATACTTTAAACTACTAGTATCACCAAAGTTTCACAAGACTAGATCTAAGGAAGAAGTTTTTTATGCTGAGGGTGGTGAGACACTGGCCCAGGTTGCCCAGAGAGGCGGTGGATGCCCCATCCCTGGAAACATTCCAGGTGAGGTTGGACTGAGTTCTGAGCAACCCGGTCTGGTTGAGGATGTCCTGGCCCACGGCAGGGGGACTGGACTCGATGGCCTTTAACAGTCCCTTCCAACCCAAACCATTCAGTGATTCTATCATTCTAAGTATTACAAAAATTATCCAATTCAGTATTTGACCAATTTTGTATGAAACTACTGAGACTTGCAAGCCTCATGGTATATGAAGACCAGTTAAGTTCATTGATTAAAAAAAAAACAAAAACAAAACAAACAAAAAGCACACCACCAAAGAGTCAGACAGTCAATATCAGTACATTACATTTTAAATTATAATTTTAAATCTTCAAAAGATTAGCAATATTAGTCATAACTAATTTATGAATATTTAGATACCTATTCTTATTCACTTACACTATTTCAGAGGTACTTAAAACTGAAGTTAAGTCCCACTGAAGCTTCACGGTTCCCCCCCCCTTTAAAATAATTTACGGGATTTCTCCTCTGTGCATTACATTTAAGGAAGAGGGGTTTTTTTTAAAGCATTTGAAGCCATATGACAAAATAGTCTGTAACATATAAAGAACATTGCCCCCTTAAAATGTTTTTTGAATAAAATTTGCATTTCAAAGTGTTACCATAGCTTTTATTCTGAGAAGCACTATTTAAATGCAATTCTTATTCCTTAAATGTAACCTAAAAACAAGGTAAACTTCTCAGGCAATTGCTTGGATTCCCAAACTGTTTCTTCAACAACAGAATAGGACTGAGGTCAAATGAATAAGCATAAAGCTGTCCTTTAACAGCTAGTTATTGTATAAACAGAAAATGTAAGTTCGACATTTCACCAGTGGTAAAAAAAATTCCAAAATTCTTCCCCCCTGCCCAAGCAGTTTCCTATTGCTGTGACTTTACCTATGCACAATTTAAGATCGATATCCTGGCTGGAATCTAGCAGTTTCCTCAAAAATCAATTCTTTCAGCTTTTCCTTCGGCAAGTCATCCAACTCCATATCAAACTTGAAGGGTGCTTCAGCTACAGGCTTAATAATATAAAGACACATTATTACATTTTTTAATATTACTGTAGTGTTGAACTTCATGTAGTCCCTGTATGGGGAAAAAAAACCTGAAAATGCACTTCACATGTGCAATTGTCTAATTTCACATTGTGCAAAATGTCTAATACTGTGCAGTCTTCAAGGGAGAACTCATTTGATTAGTCCTTTGTGTACTTTATATATTAGTTTACCAAATTTTAAATTAGACCATAGTAAGTAGCTACTCAAATCTAAACCACAAGTTAAAATATTTGTTCAAGGCTCATAACTTAGCATCCACCTGATGAAAAATTATCCAAAACATTTGTATTTCTCCAAATAAACGTATGTGTCCCTTAAGAAAAACTAGCTTATTTCCTCCTCCTCTACTTCTTCACCAGAAGTAACCTGAAACCTCATCAAAATTGTATACTAAACTACAGGAACTTCAGATCGGGGGGTTGTAAATGCATCATCTGACGGCAAACTCAGTAATTCTCTTCTTATCTCAGACATCATGAAACAAGACCATAGTGGGCTGAGAAGTTCCACTTTCAGGAGAGTACACTTAGCACACACCTTTAATGTGTTGTGCCTCCAAAACGTACTAGAACAAGAAATACAAAATTTTGGTAAAGTGATGCAATTCATTCTTCAACTCCATTAGAGCAGTATAAGCACTGTCCTTAAACTAATGAAGAAAATAACCTGCTGCATCATTTAATCCACATTTACATTTTAACAATGTCTTTACCTCATCACTTGGATCATAATACTGCTCCAGATAAGGATGGGCTAAAGCTTGCTCCACTTCAATCCGCTTATGAGGATTAAAGGTCAACATTTTATCCAACAAATCAAGTGCTAAGAGGGGAAAAAAAAAGTGAGCAAGAGTTTAATACACACTCCAAGGTACAAAAGGGTTATAAACACTGATATTACACAGAAAATACATGCTACCCTAAGCTTTGCGCTACTTTCAATTTCCAGCTGGGATTCCCCAGCTGAAGCAGCAGCAACAGCAGCAGCAGATTGTTTCCTGGGACTTAGGCAGAGCATCTTCGCCTGCACATCCTAACAGCATTGACGGTTGCAGGTTGCTTTGGCAGGGTCTAGGCTAAAGGAGGTATACCCTTTCAAAGGCTCCTCAGCATCGGAATGAATGTCGAGGGAAGAAATGCGTAGAACCCTATGGCACAATCTGTTTTTAACTACAGCAGAAATTGAACAGATCAGGCTTTTTCTTCACTCAAATAGATACTTCAGATTTTTGTGCCAAAAATCCAAACCAAGATAGAGCTCTTCTGAAATGAATAAGTAATCAAGAATATGTTCTTATTCTGAAAAGAAAACTCAGCTGTTTAATGACTAAAATGTCATCCAGGAGTCATTAGGAGTTCTAGATCATCACAGTGAACTATTCTAGCATAACTAGCAGCCCAGAAGGTACTCTCCTGCTAAGATGCAAATATATGCATTTTCATGAGATTCAGGTAAAATCTGTTGAAGACAGCTCATAAAGAATCCATAGAGAACTTGAAGATCCAGTAAGACAGAGAGTGAGGTCTGATTCTGGACAAACGTTACAAGTCAGAGTTACTGCAACTGTTCAGCTACTTTGATTATAATACATTTGCCTTTCTTTACAAGAAAAGTAAACAGAATTATCATAGTAGCAAGAAGTCCAAAGATATCTGCAGCATCCTAAACTCCATTCCATTTCTTCTCCTCACCACGTCATTTATGACACAGAACTTAAATAGAGGCTTACTTGCTGCAGCAAAGCAGTTGTGGCTTTGCATCAGGATAAGACGCATGCCAAGCATTGCAGAAGAGACAGAACTTTACCACCACCACCGCATTCAAGGACAGCTTGAAAAAGCTGTAAACTTGCAGAGCAATTAACATTAAATCTTTTTATGCGGTTTTCTCAATGCTGGAAACTCACATGCTCACTCCATGCTAAAGCATGTCGTGCACAATGCTTTTTACTGAAATGATTGACAAACAGCTTTTTCAAAAACTGCTCTGTCAAAGCTGCTCTGAAGATTTAGAAGAAAAGGAGTTGCAGAAGCCATGCAAACAGCATGTTCCCCTAGCAGCTAAGCATATCAGCATTGATACAATTTGAGCTGTCAGAAGCCCACGGTAAAAATCCGCGCATTGACAAGCACTATAATAAAAGCAGAATAAATCACTGCTGTTTCTCTGAATGATAAGGATAATCAGTTCTACACAGTTCCATCTGCAGAAATTAGCTTTTACATGGTAGTTCGGTAGCTGACCATATTCACTAAGAGTAAATTATCATATCAGTTTTCAAAAGTGACTTATGAATTGTGTCAGAGCAGACAGAACACTGTACTGTGAATACAACCACCCTTAAACTGTACAAAGTAGAATTTAAAAAGCAAGTTAAAAGCTATCTAGCAAAACAAAATCATCTTTACCCTTTACTAAAGCCTTGTTAAAAAAAGGCAACAATTATTACGTTCCTTGCTTTTATAACTTTTGCTCCACTTATCATAACTGAGTTTTTAATCCGTTAAATTTTAACCTTTCATACTGCCAAAGGATCCATACTTTGACATACTGACACGCTCCTGTTTCATCTAGAGCTGACATGCAGCCTGCACAAACTATCCTGAGTTCAGCAATAAGCAGCTATCTCATATCTGATTTTAGAAACAAAGTTCAAGATTTATTTGATGCCTATGTCAAAATCCAATGCCTATGTTCAACACTCGGGTAATGTATCATGCTTTCAAAGACAATAACAAGAGTTAGGATTTCTGTTTTACATGTAAGTTTAAAGATCAAACACCACAACACGTAATCTTAAAAGAGTTACTAAAATTGCTTTAAAAAGATAAGCTAGTATGAGGGTTTCATGCTGGTTTATGATTTTATATTAGGTTTATACTGCTGTTTTAAAGGACCTGCATATTCTACTTCCAACATAGATAAAGATAAATTCCTAGGGTGGTTTTAAAAATCCCACTCTGCCATTACTTTTGGTGATCATTTCTGTTTCTGAAGATCTGGTACAATGTAATAGAGCATGAAATACCTTTGGGATCAGCATTCGGAAACAGCCTGTTCCATGGTACCTTATTTTTGTGTGGTAGGGAAAGCAAGTAGTTTCTGGCTTTAAAATTGATTATACAATTCAAATCTTCTTGGGAAGGGGATCCAAGTATACCTAAAAAAAATGAATACAAGCAGTATTAACAAACATGTTTTAAGAGTATAGAATACCTTAGAATTTTTTTAGAAACCTTTACTAGAAAGGTTTAAGTTGTTTTTTTCTTGTAAATAAACAAACGCATTTGAGTTTTCTAATGATCTGTAATCTGTTTAAGCGATCCAATTAAGTGGCGTGTCTATAGACATTTAAAAAAAATTGACCAGGACCTAATAGGATATTTGACCTTTTTAAATTTTTTTTTTTTATTTTAAAAACCTGTCTGATGATGTAGTAAATAAACTGGTAAGTAACCTCCCAAATCAACGATTTGTTGTAGAAATCACTGCAGAAATAACTACAGGGAACAGATGATACACCGACAGATCCATACGTTATATATACTGACCAACAAGAGAAAGAAACGAGTGACCAAGAGCAGTTTAGCTGGTAGAAAAGGTATAGAGAGAGACAGAGGGATGTGGAAATGCTACTTTTATATAAAGGTTACCGAGGATATGGTTCAGTTGGTCAAGGTAGTGTTTTCCTGGAAAGATAGGTCTGTTGGAGAGCATCTCTGCCAGAATACAGCCTACTGACCAGATGTCAATAGACTTGGTGTAACCCTGCAAGTAAAGCGAAAACACATTTTGTCAAAGAAATTTTTGCATAATTGCAGCAACATGTTACTTTAGTAAATTTTGAAAGTGCACGCAAATCTCTTTTTTTAGATGAGTCATGCTTGTTCATGCTGTTTGATTTTTCTGTACAGAATGAAATAATTAAGGATTGTGTATCAAAACACTACTTTGAAGGGGCAGCAAGAATTGAAGTATGCAAGATACGCTTTTCCAAATGGATTCGCTAAGTTTAACTAAACATAGTACCAACTGCAAATCTCTGAGACTCCTTAATTTTACAGCAAATTTACACTAAATAACTTTGGAAACGAGCTATTCTTCTTAATTCTATGGCTCCTAACAGCATGCTAAACACATGCGAAAAAAACCATCTTTCTTCCTAATAGGATCTCAATACCACACAATAAGAAGCCTTCAGCATCAAAGGGGTGAAAGGGCAAAACAGACTGTTGGTTAGCTGTTCTGTAAAACACAACAGGTAGGTAAGTAGTAAAGATGATGTGAGAAGGCCAACAGCAGTAAATGGGATATAAGAAGAATGGAACAAATGCCCATATCTTCACAGGTATGGACAACCTGTGTTATCCATAAGAAAAGGCTTTTATTCAGAACCAGACCAGTGACAAGAGTGCCTGGGTGACACAAGGGCAAGTTCACCTCAAGAACCCCAGGCTCCATAAGCTCCCTTGCCTTATTCTCCCACAGCCTGCTGCCCCATGCTCCCCCTCCCATTAGCTGGGAGCTTCCAACAAAAGCTAGTAACTCTGGCAAATCCACAGCCAGCTCAGCACCCGCTTCTCAGGACGTCATTGCTTGACCATTTGTTTTCAAGGCGCTATAATTCTAAAAGGAATCGGGCTATCGGCCAGGAAAATTGTAAGTTGACCACCTCTTCAGAAATACACAAAATATTTTCTTGTAAAAGCTGATGACAAATGTATGTGGATATCCAGAAATAAGGTTAAATTGCCATATGTTTATGGCCTCAATGAGAGTTTAAAATACAAGAAGCTGGGGAAAAAAACCAAACCAAAACAAAAAAACCACCAAAACCCACAAACCACCTCGACTGGTCAGATGATTATTTTCTAGAAGTGCATTAGACACACAATTGCCACAACAAATCAAACCCAACAACCTATGAAGCGGTAATCCTACAGAAACAACAAAGTCTTTGAGGAACATAAAATATAGACACAGATGTCATATAGGTATTTTGTGAACAAGCATAGGGCTGTAAGAACTAAAGCAAGGGTTATGAAGGACACCTATTACTCACACCATACGTGGATTGGATACCCCTTAAAACAGCCACAGAAGAACATAAGAGTAATTCCAAGTATAAAAAAAACAAAAGGATGATTTTATTAAGACTATGGGAATGCAATTAAGATTGACACACAACAAAGATCACATGCCTTCAGAGTGAGATTCACCCTCATTATACATTCTACATCTAAATCAAGATGTCAAGATAATATTACAGCAACATTTGCAAGCCTTGATGAAGACAGTAGTAAAACGCTCTCATTACTAGTACTTCTCTCCTCCTCTGCGGAAAAGCATTTGATGGAAAGAAGTCTCATGATTGGCAAGGAACTGGACACCTGGGAGCTCATGCACACGATTACTCTGTTGTAGTATCCAATAATTGCATCTGGAACCACAAATTTATTGCAAGCAAGTAGCTATACTGCAAATCCATTGCCACATTTCCTCAAGACTATGCATGCGTTCTGATCCTAAAAACCACAGAAGGCCGGGGGGAAGAAAAACTGGTACTCACAAGTGAATAACCAGTAACAGAAGCACCAGAGCAGTGCACTATGGTTCCTACCTTAGAATTCAGCATGATTTCAGGAGCCCTGTACCAACGTGTGGCCACGTATTCTGTCAAGAATCCTGTGTGATCATGATCTGGATCTGCTACACGAGCCAGTCCAAAGTCACAAATCTGGTTTTAAAGAAATTTAAAAAAGGGGGGGGAAAAAGAAAACATATTAGACATACAGCTTCCAATACCACAACATTACTAATTCACCATTCCATGATGTAACATCTACAAATACAGTGATGGTAACCTATATTTTTAGAAACAAATTATTGCAAAAAGGTTAAGAAAAATGTTTTGGATTAAGTACAAACAGGACCCAATTAGGCCATGAAGGGGACAGTAAGAATAAACAGCTTGGGAAAAAAAGATGTTCCCGGTGCATAATTTTCGTTCCACTATGGGCTTACTTAATACCTTCTCTGCCAGGCGGGCGGCAAGGTACACTGCTCCAGCCTGTTATTAGAAATTTACCAGAAAACAAAAAGAGAAATTAAGATTTCCAGAAAACAAAATTACACACCAATGTATCTATAGCAGAGTTCAATACCCCTTTTTACAAATGCTACCATCATGACTGCATCTTTGCACGAGAAACTTCCTACCTAGACTAGAGAGACTGTAGGTCACTGAAGGAAGCATGAGCTTAAAAAATAAACACAAGAAAATATTTCTCAGCACTCTATGAGGAAAACAGTTTTATCTCACCATGAAAACAAAACCAAACTCTGTTCTAGACCAGTGAGTTTAACACAAAGGAAAAAGTGTTTTTATTGATACTCTGGTAAGGAGGCTCCACGACTTTCAGAGCTATTTAGTGCTTCTCTCCAGAAAGAAATCAAGAAAATTGAAAATGTGAAGAAAGACAGTGTTCTACAGTACAGCAGCTGTTCCTTTCTTACCTTCCAAAAGGTAAATGGCAAGCTTGTTGAGTGGCACATTAGACACATTCATGCGCTCTTGCTACCACCAAACAAATATCAGTTTGTGATAATGATCAATTTCCACACGAAGTATATTTGCATGAAAGAATATCTACTCTCAGAAAAACAAGGCAGCAGATGTAGAAGTAGCAGACAGTTAGGAGGTTCCTCTGGTGCACACATTTTATAATAGTTTACTCTTTAATAGTTAATTGTGTACACTGATTATATTAAAAATGTGTAGTAATAGTATGTTGTAGTCAATAAAGACTGTAACGGATAATCCTACCAAAACCACAGAAACCTCACTGTACCCTGGCAACCTACTCCTTTATTTTCCTGGTGGCCCAGCCTGTGAAACAATTGGTAGATCAGTTAAGGAAGAAGTGATTCAGCTGACTAAAAGCTTCCTCTGAAAGACAAGATTCAGCAGCTGACTGTTAAACAGAGGGACTGAAGAAAAGGAAACGATGAAATTCATAAGCCAGGCTGCATGTGACAACTCCTCTGAGTTTAGCTACATATTAAAAAAAAACCCAAACATACAAACAAACAAACAAAAAAACAACCAACCAAAAAAACCCAACAACCTCAAACAGAACCCTGAATCCTTAAAAAACAAAACCAAAAAGAATCCTTTTAAGCATGTCAAGGTTTTCTCAGGCTATGGAAACAGAGCAGCTGCCTTGTGTGCAATTAGCAGCTTACATAAAGAGAATCACTACAAATGATCAGAAGAGTCTCCTGTAAAGACAGAAGCAAAGAAACTGTAGAGGACAGCTTCATGGATTTCAGAAAATAATTATGCAGGACAGCAAAATCGTTGTAATCTCTTCCTCCTAACCTCAGAAAAAAACTACATAAAGCAAGGAGACTTGTGCAGAATTATAGTATTACACACAAGCAAAGCGCTATGATTTGTTATTGTTAAGACAAAAGAAGAAAGACACTCTGGTCCACAGTGAGGAGAAAGAACTGAATTAAAGAAGGTGTCTGTGAATCTCTCAAGTAGAAAAATGCACATGGGACGGAAAGGAAGATTAATGATAAAGAGAGCTCATTAAAATGACAAAAAGCTCCTGCTGACTAGAGCAGAAACAGGTTAAGCAGAAAAGAAAAAACACCATTAGTGAGAAAGGCACCAAGGTTGAAGCTGCAAGAAAGAGGCTTTTGGCTGTCAGCAGTGTTTTCACCAGCTGCAGAGCTGCCCAAGAGCATTAGCAGGGCAGAATAAGAGAGAAGCTGGAGAGGCCAGCGCTCTGCCCCGAGTCCCGGGTGCAAGGGAGGAAGCACAGAGACTGACTGTACCATGGTGAGGGCAGACAGTTCTTGCCCTCTGGCAACAGAACACATTTAACAGAGCAGCTACCCTATTTAGAGGGAAAAAAAATTAAAAATTATGAGTTCACCATGCCTGCTCAAATAACAATTGGTAAAAGTCAAAGCAGCAGCAGAAGGTAGGCTTCTCAATCAGAACTAAAACAAAAGAATCGAGAATCTGTGAGAGCAACATAATGACAGGCAAAATTTCCTTGGCATTTTGACTAAGTCATAGCAGAGAATAAAAAACTGCATAACGAAAGACCCAGGTATGTCAATCAGTGCTTCATGCCTTCATCTGTCTAGAACAGATGCTACTAAGAGAGAATGAATAACTTCCCCACTAAATAAATAAAATTCCAGCATCCTATCTATATATTTAGCTTCCACTTGTTCAAAACAATGTTCTTGTAATCAGTATCAGGTATGCTTCTCTTTTTTTTTTTAAAAAAAAAAACCCAACAGAAATGCCTTAAAATTGGATGAAGCTATCAAGCAGATGGGAAGGTTTATGAGGATCCTGTACATATGTCCGTTAACTAAGCAAATGAAATGACACTCAACAGGGTTACTAACACACTGAAACATCTGAAGTTGTATCACTGAGCAGTCTGTGCATTTGTATGTATATATTTGTATAAAAGAAAAAGGAGAGGCTTCCATTAAGTTTAGTTATTAATGATAAGTTGAAACAATTGCGTCTCTTCAGTAACTGGTAAAATCTTGAAATAAACAATACCTTGCAGTCTTCCTCAAAAAAACCCTCTCTCATCGCCTTCCTTTGAAACCTACTGAAGTATCTAAGAATTCTTGGATGTTTAATACTTGGAAATATTCACTGTGTAGATGGAAAAGCACAATTTATAAATAATATTAATATAGTGTGTTAATGTTTTAACCAAGTCAAAGAAGTAAGTTCTGCTAGAGTAAACTGGTACACCGAAGACACAATATACTAGCTGAGAATCTGTTTAAAATAACTTTAACCTCATTTTCTGAAATATCAATGCCACTGGCCTAAGAAAATGATATGGTCATGATAGTTTTTACATAACTTATTTAATTTAAAAAACTGCAAAACAGGTGAAATTGCTGGATGCAGATAATCATGAAAGTGTATGAAAATATTTCTGAAAGTGTTAGCTAGTATTTTAGAGTATATTCCAGCCTGTAGCATGTCAGTATACATTAATTTCATCTGTGGGAAAGATGCCAGGCTGCAGAAGAGAAGATCAGTATCTTTATTACCCAGGACTCTCACTGGAGAGATTCCAAGGTAGTAGTTTTCACGGACTCTCAAATCTAATCTTTCACTGAAAATATGTATCAAGACACAGTAGTTAAGTCAAATTATGTGCTTTCACAAACTTTCATTCGCTATGTGGTAAGTCATATTTAAGGTCTCATTTAAGTCTGTAGCACAGCCTAAGGAAATAGAAACAGCTTTAGGTTCTGCACTTCTGCCCTGAGCCTTTCGGCTGCTTAGGACAAGCAATAGCGTTCACAGACATATTTTGTCAACGCAGACTCATAATACGTTTCTTTCCTAGAAATGGAATCTAGGATCCAGAAGTCAAGAACATGTTTAAGGGGGAAGAAAGAAGGAGCTCTTGTTACAACTTGTGGGACTCTGAGCTCTAGAAGAGATCAACAGCTCTCTCGTAACACCATTAAAGAAAGAAGCTAAGAGCATTACCACTGAAGATGAAGAAACTTTCTTCCAAAAGCATAATTTTAAGTTGTTCATTTTCACAGTGTGCTGTGTTTTAAGTACAATAATCAACATTGTAAGCTCGCACACGTACATAGCTCACATACAGTCTTGCAGAACAGCCTTAAAAGAAACAAGTTAGTACAAGTTCAGCATTCATCAGACAAGGCCTAACCATGTACTAGTTTTCTCTCCAGTTCTGTTATTTAAACTTTAGATGTGGTATTAATACAACACCAGAGCTCCCTTTAGGTTATGAAAAAGCATATGCTCTGCCACACAGACTACCATATTCTGCACTGGGAAGCACACATTGCAATGGCACACTTTTTTAAATCTTAAAAAGAAATTGGAACAGTACTCACTATGGTCATATTGTATTATTACGCCACACAGTGAGTTTACCTTCTTTTTCACGACCATCTTACTTGTGTTAAAATATTGCCTTTTATTATTTTATTGCCTTTAATTGCGCATAACACAGCACTACACTCAAACTGTTCTTTCCTGCATAGTCATCGTAGATTTGACTCCATTTTTTTCATTAAGACGTTAATGCCTTGAAGGGATCTGGTGTATTAACAGCTGCTGAAATCCCATAACAAGAGCCAGAGGTGACCACTCCAGCAGTACTGTGCATTAGGAAAAGCTGACAAGTAGCAGTGGGAATGTAAAGCAAACTGATTGCGTAGCCCTTATTTAGAGTGGACCAGCATACAAACAGCAAGGACATTTCTTGGAATTGTGACAAACTTGTATGGCGAACAACTGGTTTATATTTTGAAGAGGGTTATTTTTGTTTGGTTGTTGGTTTGGTTTTTTTTAAATGAGAAAGCTAGAGCTGCTACAAAAAACAAAGTGTAGTTAGGTGCAACACAGTATGCAACAAACACAGTTGTACCACCTCAGATCAAAGTAATGTAAGCTCCGTTGTCTCGCTCCATCAGTGGCCAACAGCAAATACATAATGTAAAGTGTAAAAGGGAACATACTCCAATGCTCCTCTACTAGTCTCCCTCCTCTTCCATGGATTTGCCACCGTGGGACTCTAAACCAGAGACAGCATTCAATAGCTTTTTCTTCTACTAACTTGCTTGCTGTTTTTTTAAGTCACGTTATCTGTAATATCTACAGTGTTGTGTAGCACCAAATTCCACAGCTTAACAATGTCCTTTCACCTTGAGCATGCCACCTGCTCCTTTCATTCCCCATCCCCACCCCCTGCCTTTTTATTAGGTAAAGGCAGTGACCAACTGTTCTCTATTCCTGCTCCCTATAACAATTTTACCAAATTATGTTGTATTCTTGCTTTTCTTCAAGCAGCATCTTCCAGCAGAGGAGACTAGGCTAAACAGTTCTTCCTGATACGGAGAGATGTACTCTGAAGTCCTGATCTCCTCATTTTAAACGGATATCATACGGAGCAGTGTGATAACTACAATCACACGGAACTGAAGACTCAAAACCAACAGAAAGTTATAGAATGGCATGTTTTCTGTTTTATTCTCTATTTCTGTTCTAATTCTTCACACTTGGTTTGCTTTACTGAATGCCACTAAGCATTGAGATGACATCTTCCAAGAATCATAACAGCTCTAAGATCATCCTTCTGTAATATTAACTAGTACAGAGCCCAGCACTGGAAATGTAAATTAATGTTCTCTCTCCGAGTAATTGCTGTGCATTTAATCAGCAGTGAATTTCACATGCTATTTTAGTCACCCACTAATATGAAGTCCTTTTCCAATACTGAACAATTAATAGTTCAAACACAAAGATACCAAGACTTGGAATATACACAGTTTTGAATTTACTTTCTAGGTAAACACAATTCTGCTTCAGACAAGTATTTTCACCTAGCTTTCAAAGAGGCTGTTTCAAAGTCAGCCTCCAGATGGAAACAGTGATGCACTCATTAAAACAGCGTAACAGTGAGTTCTTAGTCACTCAAATCTTAATAATTATTTTATCAAAACCAATAATGTTTTGGCAATCTTTCCAGGATAAAAATCACATTAATCCCCAGTAACAAACCCACATTCACAGTTATAGCAGGTAGTTTATGAAGATCATGGGAGCAAAATTTGTAAGGAATTTCAACTAACCTTGAGATCACAAGTGGTGTTAAGCAGCAAATTCGAAGGTTTGAGGTCACGATGAAGCACATTAGCTGAATGGATATATTTTAACCCTCTCAGAATCTGGTAAAGGAAATAACAAATGTGGTCGTTGCTGAGGTGTTGAGTCTTTAAGAGCTTGTAAAGATCTGTCTCCATAAGATCTTGCACAATGTATCTGTCAGGCATCAGATGTAAGGCAGCAAAACAAAGGTGGTGTCATGTTAGATATCAACATACAGTACCAGATGAAACTTCCATAACATTTCTTCTGTCTTATTTGTCTGTTTCATGACAATTATGAAACTATGTAGCTGCTTTTTGCTTAACAAGTTTTGCATTGAATCAATCCTGTTACATGATGAAGCTCTTTACAAAATTAAGAAGCACCGGCACGCAGTCTTCAAATTAATCATCATAAACCTCTATTTCTTTATCTTAGAGCCTGATTTTAATTGGAATCTTAGTATGATCAGATTCCTATCCTGCTTGCCAAGAAATAAAGACTAGGGGTTTTTTTGTTTAATGAGTAATAAGCTTCTGTGACACCTGCTTCCAGCTGCATAAGGGCACTAAAGTAGAAGATCTGATCATTTCTGATCAGTCTTCTCTGCCATCTCTCTGCTTCAAAAATTCCACTGCTGTTCTCCTTTACTATATATATATCATGCTACATTGAACAGAACATTCCTTTGCTTACCAAATTAAATCCTAATATTTTCAGTCCTATGATTTTTTTTCTAAGATTGGAACGAACATAAAGAAAAGGGTTTGGTTTTTTTCTGCTTTGGCAGGAACGAGTTAAGTAAAATTTTCTTCTCCCTTAATTCAACTTGGCTGCAAAACCCTTGGGATGTAGTTCCATGATCACTTTTCACCAAAATAGGATTTTGTGAAAACAGACTACTATTGCCATTCCAGTTGGGCGTTCCCATCCTCTCCTCTGGGTATTCAGATTGGATCACACAACTAGGACATCTTTTTACAGGCAGAATGCTCTTATAGGACGAAGGGGAATGGATTTAAACTGGAAGAGGGCAGGTTTAGATTAAACACTAGGAAGACATTTTTTAGTTTGAGGGTGGTGAGGCATTGGAACAGGTTGTCCACAGAGGTTGTTGAGGCCCCAGCCCCGGAGGTGTTCAAGGCCAGGCTGGACGTGGCCTTGGGCAACCTGGTCTAGTGGGAGGTGTCCCTGTCTATGGCAGGGGATGATCTTCAAGGTCCTTTCCAACCTTAACCATTCTATGATTGGCCAAAATGGCCACAGAAAGGCAACCTTAGAACCCCACATAAGATCGATTGAACTCAAATAATATAGTGATTATTTATGAAGTGAAAACATTTGACCTAGGCTCAATCCAATTTCTACCTGTGTGCACTTATGCCTTTTATTGGGCAGACTTCTGCAAAGACCCGCAAAACCAACAGAAACCAATGCACACGGACTTGGGGAAATTAAGCTGGCTGAGTCTAAACTAAACCTTGTATCTCAGGTGGAGTCTCCCAGCTAAGACTACTTCATACATTAGATATCCACATGAAGTCACATCCATGCAAAGCCAACTTTCCCGTGAAAGAACAATTAGTATAACAAAAAAGCCAGATTGCCAAATATTAATCAAGCATGTTTAACTGCCCATGTGCAGTTTCAGAATTTTTGCACGTGCAGGAAGCACTGCAAAACTGGGGGTTGTGTTTTGCTTTATTTAAATGGTTTTTTTTTCCCCCCAGGATCTGTCCATTCTATTCTTTAAGAAAATTTCAGACAATTATAGAAGAGTCTGGCCATTTCATTTTACCCTCAAAGCAATCAGATAGTTCTAACAACAGCTTGATTGAGAGCAAATATAGTTTTAGGATTAAGTGACTAAACTAAATCTTTGCTACAATGTTGAGTTCTTTGCCTTGGAAGATAAAACTTAACATTCTTTTTTCTTTTCCTGAAAAAGAACAAATAAAACTAGTGTTCACCTACATATCAAATCTATCTATGTATCTATAAATGTATCAAGCACTATGAACTTCCCTTTCAATTTACAGTAAAAGAAGCCAGCTTTTAGTAAAATCTATTAAGGAAGAGGATGAAAAGGGAGAAATAATCAAAACAGAGAAGATGGCAACCATCATTAACTATGCAGAATAACTTAAAACTTTGAAAGGATACACATCTTTCATCTGTTCAATAGTCGGAGCTCGGATAATATCATTTATTCCAATAATATTCTCATGCCTGAAGCGCAGTAGGATCTTAATCTCTCTCAGAGTTCTCTGGCAATACGTCTGATGCTCAAAAGGACTGATTTTCTTTATAGCAACTCGAACTTTGTTGACGTTATCATAGGCAGAACTAGAATAGAATCAATAACATTAGTTATAAAGAATATTAAATTAATTCAATTCAGAAAGCAAGAACATTAATTCAATTGAATATAGGGGCGGTGCATTTGTTTTATATTTATTTTTATCAATTGAAGAGAGGCAAGAGCGGCACATATGTTTGATGGACAAAATACTGTTGTTTTATCACCAGCCTATTTGGGTATCTACAAGTCATCAGCTTGCCCAACTGCCTTAGAGTCGGCTGATTCCCAGGCACCTGAACAAAGAAAGAAGTATTCATCTTTATCAGCCTGTGGAACAAACAAGTTTGAGGTTTTTTCTATACACTGTAATTAAGAAGTTTGAGAGAAAAGGTTCATCTTGAGTTAACCCATTTACTTTGGGGTACAGAAAAGCCTTCAGAAATCATCTTTCAAGCAGCAGAATTCCACATCCTCTGTCTAACTCCTGCAAGTAATTCCAATTGCCACAACCTTTTACTCCTCCATTGAGCTACACTATTGGCACCTCCATGAAGAACAGACACTGAAGAACAAAAGAGACTGAGAATTTGTGAAAACACCTTTCCATGTACAATTCCAAAGATAAGAGATCAAAAAGAGAAAGAATGTATCGGAACACACGCATGAAGCGGAAGCAAGCAGGAGTACAATGAGGTAATTTGGCGATTGTGCCCCATGTTAACAACCACACTGGCTGCTACTTGTACAGTACTGGGATTTCAGAAGCTCAAAACAGCATTCCTAGCTATACCAATAAAGCAGTGTTTCTGTTCAAAATGTCTACGCATTTATGAAGCCTGAACCTAGTAAAAAGGCTCAGTAAAACATACAGTTTTCTAAAATTTGGACTCGGATTATTTTTTAGTAAAAATTAGTAAAATAGTAAAAATTTTTAGTAAAAATGTTATGAATCGTGACAAATTTTAGGTTATTTTCTATGGTCTTGCTTATATGAATGACAAAGCATCTCATTATAATAACTTCTTTGTATTAAAGTATATGGTAATTTAATAAATTAGAATTTAAATGTGCGTTTATGATTCTTGTTCCTTTCAAATTTCTCTTTGCTCACTACTGCATTGCTTGGAAATTAAAAAATAATCAAGCCTACATTTAAACATATCTGTTAGTCTCAACTATTTCATACAAAAATATGAACATACTAGCCAAACAGGCTTTACATTCCACCAATTGTCTATAATCGAGTCCCAGAATGTTCTTTGATACCCTCTTAATTGGCCTTACTCTGCTGAGATATCCAGGGATCTGGTGATCAGGTAAAGCAGAATGAAATATGAAAATCCAATTACAAAGGAGACTTTTAAGGAATTCAAATGCCCGGCCACATCGAGGTTCTTTTACTACTACTACACAGATTTATGGTACAACAAGATGTTTTTGAGACAGTACTGTTACCACCGTATGCAAAAGTGTTTAACATTTCTCACTTTCATTATTAAAAATGTCATAGAATTTGTGCTGCCAGTAAGATCTTCATACAGCTCATGCATATGTAGTGACATCCTTCTTGCACAATTTTTCTGCAGAATCACTTTGACCTGTCTGCATCTGTAACTCTATAATCAGAAGCAGATGCACAATTTATTTGTCTCTACAAACACCAAACTCAAATGCTCCACAGGGTGCTTTGGAACTCCACATGCTAAGCAAGTATTCATTACAACTGTTGCTATTACATATGTATAGATAACACATTAGCAGTTCGTAAGTCCCAAAATAGATAATAACAAAGTGCCATAAGTGGAACTTGGCATAGCCTTCAAGAGCGCTTCGTCTTCAGTAATTTGCTTAGTTAATCAGTTAATCACCTGTGGTGTTTACAATATACCAGTAAGGTAAGTCACAAGCAGAAAACAAAATTAGAAATAATTCTGAAGCCTGAACAACCTGTATTTCGGAAAGAAATAAAAGAATCCTATCATTTTACCATTATCAACTAACCTCCCACCTCCTTCTTTTTATTGACTTTAGCATATTTTTGTCTCCCACAATGCAGAATCTTACTTCCTTTCAAAGTACTGGACAGCAGCAGCTATGCAGAAAAAGGCAAAATGCCAACATTTACCAATTGATACTGCTTAAATAAAAGCTCCTAATCTTTTACAATATTTGATAAATCTCTAAGTTATTGCTTCTCAAGCAAAGGTTGGTTATTGATGAAAAATATGCTTATTTCCTTGTACAGATTCAATGAACTTCAATCTATCAGTTAAATATACTAAGATTTGCTCTCTTGTAGCTGTTTCACTTACAATTCTTGAAGCATTTTCTTAGCAAAAGGTTTATGCTGTTATTTAAAAAAAAAAGGATGGGTAATTTTGCTTTCAGATGGTTTGACTATAAAACACACGATTCAGCGTGGAAAAAAGCTGACTACTTGCAGTAAAGATGCGATCAATTTCCTCTCCAGTGTACCTTCTTCATACAGTCATTTTTCTGTTCCTATCAGAAGATCTCACCACACTAATGCAGTTAAGCATGCATTGCTGTTATCAGTGCAAAGCCTCAGCTAAGGAGAGCAAAACCGAAATACGACCTAGTCAAAACATTCAAAGGGACACTGGATTTCTGTTGCCACACTTTCTGAAATATGAGCTTTTCTGTAACTTGATTAAACGTATGAAAGATTACCTCAGTTCCTATGAGCAAGAAGCTAATCATACAAGTAGGTAGGTACACTTGCTCATGTACAATATTTTAAATATCATGCATGATACAGGTACACAGAGAATCTGTATTATAAAGCTAACACCATTTCACATCCTCAGAGCCACAGCCCTCAAAGCAAATACAGCTCTGAGCAAACACTGTGACCCTTTAAAAAACAGTGCTTTTTCAATTTGAGGTGTTCTACAGAAAACTGGAAAAGCTACAGACTAGACTGAACTTCAGTAGAACTGACGAGTCATGTGTTCTCTCATGCACATATGCTACAGACACCTATTTAGCCTATGAAACCATATAGCAACATATGTTTCACTACCTAGGAAACACAGTAAACTAACAAAATTGGGTCCTTTGTAGGTCAGACTGAACCATATCCCAAAGCTTTCCCTGTTCCTCACAAACTTCATCCGACCGCCATCCACCAGATCAACAGAACACAAACACCAGATTTACCCACTACTCTCCAGAACTCTGCTAAAGAAAGATGCTGCTTATACCCCGTGTCCGTTGTAGTGTCTGAAAATGAAACAACTATAAAAAGTGCAAATCCAAACCCTCGATGCATTAACTCACTGCAGTTAATGTAACAGCTTATCACTTAACACAGGATTCATCTTGCTTAGCCTTAGCTAGAATTAGAGATCTAATTTTATGACTAACAATCACCTGTGCTCCCCCTACAGTCCAAAAAGGAATATCTCCACATATACATCCCATCCACCACCCAGCACGTCCTAAATTTAGATTATTTGCATTCTGGAAGTGCTGTCCCAGTGTGCCCAGTCCAACCTCGCTTTCTAGACTTTCAGCTTCTACTACATCTCACAACAACTGTTTATATTTTCACTGAAGCAGTTAACTGGGACTCCTTCTAAAGGCAGGAACCTCCTATTAGAGAGCCTTTTCTCCAGAGAAGATCTGTGAAGTGGGAATAACACTTCACATACTAACAACTTTTAGAGTGCCAATTTATAGCTTTTAGTTTCTAATCATTAACCACACGTACCAATCACTGCACATAGAACTTTCCCTTGAACAGCCTGTGTGTCATTCACATCATGATTAAGTTAGTTCCTGACACTTTAAATATTCAGAAGGAAGGATTTATTTCCACCCCAATAATGTGCAGCTTCACAAGCTGATGCAACCATTCAGCTGTGAGTGCTATTTATCTGTAATGTGATAAATTTAAATATAGATTTTGCAACTGCCCAACTCTAGTATACACAACATTATTCCTATTTCAAGCTGCGGCTACTATCCAGTGACAACCTGCAACAGCACCGTTATTTAGATACTTTCAAGGCACCACATGAAAATCGATACAAGCTCTAGCAATACAGTTTATCATTCCCAACATTAAGCATCTTGTAAATATATAATAAAGTTTTGACTAAGAAAAACATCTTGCACAGCTGTACAAAACAAACAAATGAGCATTTATAACCCCCGAGGTTGCACCACGCAACTTTTAAAGCCAGTGTTACATCCTTCTACTGCTCTGGTACCAACTTCCTTTTTAAAAAGAAGCCCAGGGTGGGGCTGCTTCCAAACACAATGACCAGAAAGTGCACCACAGTATTTGAGCAGCCTACAGAAAACAGCATGCTAATTGCGCAGATGAACCTCTGACACGTAGTCCCTCTCCCATCAACTCCTTCTCAAGGAAGGAAAGCTTTTCACCAGACAGATCGGGACAAGTGCCAAAGCTTCGCTCCTTCTACCCACAATGGCTGCTGCATGTTCTTCCATCCATTTCTATTCTTCACATGTTTCATTTCGGAGCAGAACTGGAACAAGTGAGAGCATGCTGCAGCTGCCGGGAGGAAAGGAGCCAGCTCCTGGCAATCGTTAGATCCCACAGAGGGCTGTTTCTTCATAGAACCATGGAAAAACAACTGCCTACTCTGTCGGCACCCCATCCTCAGTGCACTCCTCTGCCACGCTGCCGGAGGGCTTACCCCATCATGGGATATTCTCCCAGCGCTTCTAGGATTCTTCACCTTATGGCTGTTTTACAGGCTGCTCTCAGCACATGCATGCATACACATAAAAATACACAGTGCTACCGGCAAACATCCTAATTACAGCTCTAAATAAAAGACTGATTTGAAGTTTAAAAGGGATGTTTTATCAGCAGCTTTGTGTTGCTGTGGAAACAAGATTCCAAGGGCATATCCAGGGATAAGAATCTTTCTGAAATATTGAATAATTCTGCTTGCAACCAGGAGACGAAAGGCAAAAATAATTCCCACCAAGCAAGCTGATCTGTGAAGATCTTTAATCTTTTCCTTCAGTCTACATTTAGCTCAATATT